CCTGGCCGTGCGGACCTGCCCTCGTGCTGGACGGCGACAGGGCGCAGCCACGGGAGGCAGCTCTGCGCCGCCTCCCGCCCTGTCTGCTGCCTCTGTCCTCAGAACACTCCGATTCCGTGGCCGAGGCGAGGACCTTCCGTGACCTGTGGTGGTTTGGAGGAATCTCTGTACCTGAGCAATGGGACGAGGTGTAAACCAAGTTTTCGAAAGAAAAGAGAGCATCCGACGCGCCCATCAGTGGAGACCAGCAGCAGTGCGGGGAGGCGGGGGGTCTGAGGAGGGCGCCCCCAGGAGGAAGCCTGCGGGGGGGGGAACAGGGACCAGGGAAAGGCCCACCCAACTCCAGAGGGGACACAACTGCGCCCCAGAACTCCACAGCGATGACTGAGTCAGGCCCTCAGGGGGAGGGAGGCACAGAAGGGACATCAGGAGGAACCCCGTCTTTCTCCGCGGAGGAACAGCTTTGCGGAGATGTTTCAGGCCCGAAAGGCCAGGAGGAAAAGGTGATTGTTATGGTCTGTTCTCGCCTGGCACAGCCGGAAACTAAGAATGGGCCTCTGTTCCCGGGAAGGGGGCAGGGATGGGGGGGAGGTCGGGGGAGGGGTCCAAGGCGGCCTCCTCCTTACCTGCCCTCCAGGCATGTTCTGCCTCGGTGGGACTCAGAGGCTTCCTCCAGTTGCCATGGCGTCGGGAGACAACTGCCTGGCCCCAGGAGGATGGTCTCCCCCGCCCCTCCCCCCGCCTCCCCCCAGGGCAGCTTTCCAGGGAACGGGTCCTTTGAGAAGAGGAATGACGTGCACCGCGTTCTTCTGATGACAGAAGACAGTGTTCTTTCTAAACAAGTTAGAAAATGCAGAGAAATGTTTCCAACATGGAATGACATTGCCCTCTGAGCTCTTTACCCAAGGCTGGCCCGGCTCTCCCGGCATCTCTGCCAGGCCCTGCCCCTGGGGGCACGCAGGTGTTCGCAGCGACATGTTTGCTGGGCACGCCCCTCCGCCGGTGTGTCCTTCCGACGCTCCTTGTACGTCAGGTTATAAAACCCAGAGATGGAGCAGACGGAGCCTCACCACTATTTCCCATTCGCATCTAACACATCCTTATCAAAAGGAAATACTTTTGCTTGTTTTTAAATATATTTTTTATTGATTTCAGAGAGGAAAGGAGAGGAAGAAAGATAGAAACATCAATGATGAGAGAGAATCATGGATGGGCTGCCTCCTGCATGCCTCACACTGGGGATCTAATAATTTGGATTGCAACGCCACCCGGCCACAGGGTTGCACGAAGGATTAAACGAGACGATACATGGGGACTGCGTGCCTGACACACAGTAGCCTCTCAGCAAATACTGACTGACACGCTTCTCCCAGTGGCAACCGGAACTAAACTCCCTGGGAACCCGCAAGCCGTGCGATTAACCTTGCTCGTTGCACGAGTCCCGGGGGAGGCCCGTTGCGTCTCAGCTCCCCACTCACAAACACCCTGGTCACTGCCTGCTCTCCTCTTAGGAAGCTCCTTAAGGCCCCAGCTTTCTAAT